CCCGTCACGTTGTCACCCTCTTTTATATACCAGACTATCCTATATCTAGTAAATGCTAGAGCATTCGCCAAAGTACAGGATAGTTCTAGAAAGTAGAGGGCGTGAGAATAGTCACGTGATCTCGATGACGCAACAGTATACTTAGTCCAGAGCATGACTTCACGTGTAAGATGATTTGCAAATAATACATAGTAACATATAAATTTGTATCAACACGAAGAATATTCTCCATGTAAAGGCATTTTAAATTTCCAACGCGTAACGAAACAATAGCCTCTCCAAAAGATTGTGAGCTTCGTGATATAACTTGGTTTAAAAAAGTGATAAAACTGGGAAATAAGGAGAAAGTCCCATTTCTTCACGAGAATTAACGAACGATAAGCGAGTTTTTTTTTTTAAGAAACTGTATAGTGAAGTGTTAATGATGGAAGTTGTAAAACGTCGTGGAGAAAATAGTTCAGGAAATAGAAATGATTGTCCTAAAAGCACAACTCTTTTGCAGTTTCATGAAATGGGTCTTGATGATAGAATTTTGAAAGTAAGATTATTTGAAAGTTATTATATTTATCGAAAACAAATAATGGTCATGTACAAGAAATAGAAATTCGGTTTCTACACGCTGTTAGTGTTAGTAACAGTGTTACTGTTAGGCCTAAATTGGTAAATAATTGCCGAAAAAGTACAACTTGCATAAGTTATGCTAGTATAACTATGAGAATAAGCTCAAACCTTGTCACGTGTATAAACTGTTGTGCTTAAGTATAAAGTAGAACTAAAAGAAATATAGCAATATAATTCTGATTTCTTTGTCTGTTTAAATACTAAGCATACAATAGTAAAAGTATGCAAGTTTCAACGCATGGTCTACGCTTATTCAGTGATTGTAACTAAGCTATAAGTATAACTTAATACTAGGACTCGGTAATAGTACAACTGCTAATATTATTGTTAATGGTATTAGTACAGCATAAGTTGAGACAATAGTAGATAATTTTTAATTGTCAGTTCTTGTAGGCCACGTAATCAAACAGGTGGTTTTATTATTATTATTGAGAAATTTTAAAATGAGATTAGGGTTTATAATATTAATAAGAATACAGGTACAATAATTATGGGAGACTTCAGTTATATATTATCTATAGACACATTGTTGGATACATGTGGAGTAAAATAAGAAGGGTAAGAGATTTCTTACCTTACAATTTGCATATTTAGTTCATTCTTTATATTCTTTGCATGACTCAAAGGTGAAGATTTCTGAAATTGTGTCCTCTTGAAATAGAGTTAGAGAAGGATCTGATTTAGGTGTTTAAGGGAAATTATAGTGTTAGTACATCATTTTTCATATTTAATGATGAGAATGGTAGGACAAGGAGACACAAATTTTGGCAGAATAACATTCACCTTCAGCTAAGACAGTTATATTTTTTTAACAGTAACAGGGTGGTTGTTTTTTGTAATGGGTCGTTTGGGGATGTGGTGGATGCAGTAAATTTAGAGGTATTTAAGAGAAGGCTTGACATATATTGAAATGGTTGGATTTTAGTGTGTTTTTTTTATTTTTAAGTTTAGTTTAATGTATAGGACAGCCTAAGTGGACCCAAAAGGTTCTTTATTTTTCCATTTTATGTTATGATATAACCTTCCTATTGTTGCTTGTTTATGAAATCTTATTGTAGTCAGATTGGATATTTTAATTTGTCCACTGTTTGTCCAAGTGGTCTCAAAATGATGGAATAACTTGGATTTAGTAACGTAATTCAGGAGGATGTTCCATATGTTTACTATTATTTAAGTAAAGTTAAATCTCATTATGTTTAATCAACATGCCTCTTTCAGCAATTCTACCATTTTTAACCCATCACACAAGTGTTGTAGTTACCATTAATGATCTTATGTTTCAAGGTTGCTGCTTCTTTACAAGGGAATTGATGTTAGAGCTGGGCAGTTAGTAATACTTGCTAATTCATTAACCAGTGGGCACATTATTCAGTTAGTACACCACACTTCCTACAACCTATACAGCAAAAAAAAAAGAATGTACACACATCGTCTTAACTTTATCAAATCACTGTATTATTGTAACATGGTATTAACTTTCCTCTTTTCTTTTTTAAATTAACTTTTGATTAACCTTGATTTCACATGATATTACCACCTTCTAGGTCAAATTTGTGCATTCGCAAAAAAACATTTTTTGTCAAAATTATTTTCTCATGAGTTTCAAAGACGTTTTCTACTTGGTGAATGAATTGTTAGTATCGGTAAAATACCTAAATACCTCCACATAATCACAATGTTTCTGTTTTTAAAATATGTGTTAATCCACATTGATTGTCTGTAAATCAAATAATTGATAATTAAATAATAAAAACATGTTTTACTCTCATGATAAGTGTAATAATGTTTTTATTTAAAATCTGTCATGATTACAAATAATTAAGTAGCCAGTTGGACAATTTATTTGTGTGTATATTGACTGAATAGGAGGAACATAAAACAATATTCAGTAAAGCAGCAGCAGCATCTTCACAGCTAGCAACATCCAAGACGTTAATATCATCTGCAAATTTAAGTAAGTTATTGACCATTCTATCATCTATGTCATTGATGTAAATCCAAAAGAGCAAAGGTCCTGGAGGATTTTAACATGAAAATACCATAGTTATTAATATTTTTTCACAATATATGATATACACATGATAAACATTCTTCTGCATTCTTGTCAGTACAGCCTGAACCAAATCATGATACACTAATCAAAGTTTCTCTAGATCTTATTAATGTTATTTCGATGAGATGTATATAATTTTTTGCAGGGCTGATTTTTCTGTGAGTTTTGTGAAATAATTTTTAAACATTTTATGCTTTAATTGTGCTAGAAGTTAAAGATGGTTTACAAGTTTATTCATGGGAAAGAGTTAATTATTTCTTTTTGATAAAGTACAAATAATACTGTTTTGTTCTGTATTGATGACTATTCTTTTATCAACAAATGAACTTTAACGTATTTTCCTTTATGACCTCTACTAAGTTTGTGTATTGTAGGATGCATCCATTTAAACAATTTCAATTCCTTCACTCCTATGATGATATTAAAACTCGTGTAGCAAATTACGTGTTGTTAGCCTTATATTTGCTATTTCGTTTACATGTTCACTAACTCTCAGAAGTTTTGTGATAGTGTTTATTTTTATCAGTTCTAGTAATAGATTTTGTACCTATTGAATCTGGTACAGTGGCATCTTGAAATGAAAATATATTACTTTTTGAATCGGTAACCAGTGTTTGAAATAAGACTTGCATACTGGGTTGTTCAGCCGACAGTTTTTGGGCCAATTATGATTGTCCTCAGTAAACTATAGTTATCTACACGTAAATGAACAAGGTAGTTAATAAAAATTACAAACTTGGTGTTACATTGTCCTAAATCAAATATGACACTAGAAAGCACATTAATTAACAGAAAATCATGATATTCTCAAGGAACTTCATGAACTGTACACGACCCCTTTTTCCTCGTCATACTTTAGTCACAGGATGGAATTTGTTTTTGTCTATTCACAGTTGCTCTCTGTTTTCAAATACTTTGTACTTACTTTGTCTTTGACACAAAGAGAAGCTTACTTATCCATTTCAAATCCACAACTTATACTGAAAACAGTATCTAAGTCTACTGTACCAAAACATAAGTAGTGGAAACAGAGAAGCTTACTTATCCATTTCAAATCCACAACTTATACTGAAAACAGTATCTAAGTCTACTGTACCAAAACATAAGTAGTGGAAACAGAGAAGCTTACTTATCCATTTCAAATCCACAACTTATACTGAAAACAGTATCTAAGTCTACTGTACCAAAACATAAGTAGTGGAAACAGAGAAGCTTACTTATCCATTTCAAATCCACAACTTATACTGAAAAGAGTAT